TCCCATTCCTATACAATGTGAAACTAGCTGTAGTAGGGACCTTAATTAAGAGATCAAAAGCAGGCAGCTGAAAGCACAGCAGGGACGATCATGTAAAGTCTTCCATGGGGGAAGACTATGGAAAAACAGCAGTGCAGGAGGGCTCTTACAGTGTAGTAATTAGAAACAATTTATTAAATAAAAGCACAATAAACACACAATAGGAATTGCACTTTAAAGAGCAGTAGTACATATCTGCTTTAATAGGATCATGTAATCAGTACAGAAATCCACCACTCCCAGAAGGGCAGTGAGGCAGTCTTGACAAGAATGCCACAAGAAAACACTGCTCACGTCCTCCCTAACAATGGTCAGAACATGTTTTGACTTCCTCTTGCTCAGCCTACCCATGCATATGCCCACCCACCCCATGTCACAGTTAGATCTCTTCCCAGCAGTGTGGGCAGCCCAAAGGGCAGAAGTACACAAAGTGTATGCTCCCTCCATACTAGAAAATGGTGACCACACATACACTATATTGCCAAAATTATTGGGCCCGCCCTCCAAATCACTGGATTCAGGTGTTCCAATCACCTCTATGGCCACAGATGTATAAAATCAAGCATGTAGGCATACAGACTGCTTTAATACACATTTGTAAAAGTGGGTCGCACTCAGGAGCTCAGTGAATTTAAGTGTGGTACCTTGATAGGTTGCCACCTGTGCAATAAGTTCATCCGTGAAATTTCCTTGCTACTAAATATTCCACGGTCAACTGTTAGTGGTATTATAACAAAGTGGAAGTAACTGGGAACAACAGCAACTCAGCCACGAAGTAGTAGGCCACGTAAAATGAAATAGCGGGGTCAGCACATGCTGAAGCGCACAGTGATCAGAAGTCACCAACTGTCTGCAGAGTCAATAGCTAAAGACCTCCAAACTTTGTGTGGCCTTCAGATTAACACAACAACAGTTCATAGAGAGCTTAATGGAATGAATTTCTATGGCCGAGCATCTGCATCCAAGCCTTACATCACCAAGTGCAATGCAAAGCGTCGGATGCAGTGGTGTAAAGCACGCTGCCACTGGACTCTAGAGCAGTAGAGACGTGTTCTCTTGGGTGATGAATCATGCTTCTCTGTCTGGCAATCTGATGGATGTGTCTGGGTTTGGCAGGAGAACGCTACTTACCTGATTGCATTGTGCCAAGTGTAAAGTTTGGTGGAGGGGGGATTATGGTGTCTGGTTGCTTTTCAGGGGTTGGGCTTTGTCCCTTAGTTCTAGTGAAGGGAACTCTTAAGGCATCAGCATACCAAGACATTTTGAACAATTTCATGCTCCCAACTTTGTGGGAACAGTTTGGGGATGACCCCTTCCTGTTCCAACATGACTGCGCACCAGTGCACAAAGCAAGGTCCATAAAGACATGGATGAGTGAGTTTGGGGTGGAGGAACTCGACTGGCCTGCACAGAGTCCTGACCTCAACCCGATAGAACGCCTTTGGGATGAATTAGAGCGGAGAGTGCAAGCAAGGCCTTCTCGTCCGACATCCGTGCCTGACCTCACAAATGCACTTCTGGAAGAATGGTCAAACATTCCCATAGACACACTCCTAAACCTTGTGGACAGCCTTCCCAGAAGAGTTGACATGTTATAGCTGCAAAGGGTGGGCCAACTCAATATTGAACCGTGCGGACTAAGACTGGGATGCCATTAACCGCTGCCCTATAGTAGAAATACTGCTACAGGGCGGAAGGGCTGCGCAAAATCACGAATATATATATGATTTACATTTCCGGGTAGGGAGCACACACGCTGCCCTACCCGCACCGCCATTGGTGGCTAGGCATTTCAATCACCGGGTCCTGGCCGGAGATTCCCTGGCGATCGCCCTGCAAAGCAGAGAGGGGAGAGACCTGTGTCTAATCAACAGAAGTCTCTCTCCTGCCAGCAGGAAAAGCACAGCAGAGAAATACAAAGCAGCATGTCTCCAAGGTAAAACAGTGCACAGCACGCATAGTAAAACACACAGTTAACCCTTTAAGCACCCATAAGTTAACCCCTTCCTGCCCAGTGTCATTAGTATAGTGTCAGTGCTTTTTATTAGCACTGATCACTGTATTAGTATCACTGGGGATGTCAGTGGCAGTTAGTCAGTTCCCACCCAGTGTCAGAATGCCCGCCACAGTCCCGCTACAAGCCCCTGATTGCTGCCATTACTAGCACAAAAAAAAAAAAAATTCCAGTATATCTACCTATATTTGTAGATGCTACAACGTTCACGTAAACCTATTCAGTTACACGTATTAGGATTTTTTTTTTTTTTTGTAGCAAAGACATGTCGCAGAATACATTTTGGCCTAAATTTATGACGAAATTTGATTTTTTAAATTTTTTTTTGGACATGTTTAATAGCAAAAAGTAAAAAACATTGTTTGTTTTTCAAAATTGTCGGTCTTTTTTTGTTTATAGCACAATAAAATAAAAAAAAACGCACAGGCGATCAAATACCACTGAAATAAAGCTCTATTTGTGGGAAAAAGGACAGAAATGTAATTTATGTATAGCGTTGCATGACCGCGCAATTGTCAATTAAAGTAACACAGCGCCGTATCGCAAAAAATGGCCTTGTCCGGAAGCGGGGTAAATCCTCTGGAGGGAAAGTGGTTAAAATTTATGTGTGTGTGAAGGCAGGCATCACAATTAGAGATGAGCGAATTATTCAAAAATTCGATTCGGCTGATTCGCCGAATTTTGCGGAAGAAATTCGATTCGATGCGAATTTATTCGCTGCGAATTTAACTTATTAAAAGGGTTTCTAGGCTTCAGAGAGCCTTTATATTAGTGCAGAACACTGTACCTTTAATTTAAATGCTCTTGGAGTCTGCTGGGGAAGAGAAATAATACTGTCAGTCAGTATGACATGCAGATGAGTGCCGTCGATCTTAGAATCACCGCACACTTCACTCATTTGGGCAGTCACGGGGCACGACGAAGAAGAAGAAGAAGAAGAAGAAGAAGAATGAAAAGAAGAAGAATGAAAAGAAGAAGAAGAAGAATGAAAAGAAGAATGAAAAGAAGAATGAAAAGAAGAAGAAGAAGAATGAAAAGAAGAAGAAGAAGAATGAAAAGAAGAATGAGAAGAATGAAAAGAAGAATGAAAAGAAGAAGAAGAAGAATGAAAAGAAGAATGAAAAGAAGAATGAGAAGAATGAAAAGAAGAATGAAAAGAAGAAGAAGAAGAATGAAAAGAAGAAGAAGAATGAAAAGAAGAATAAGAAGAATGAAAAGAAGAATGAGAAGAATGAAAAGAAGAATGAAAAGAAGAAGAAGAAGAATGAAAAGAAGAATGAAAAGAAGAAGAAGAATGAAAAGAAGAATGAGAAGAATGAAAAGAAGAATGAAAAGAAGAAGAAGAAGAATGAAAAGAAGAAGAAGAAGAATGAAAAGAAGAAGCAGAAGAATGAAAAGAAGAATGAAAAGAAAAAGAAGAAGAAGAATGAAAAGAAGAAGAAGAAGAATGAAAAGAAGAATGAGAAGAAGAATGAAAAGAAGAATGAGAAGAATGAAAAAGAAGAATGAAAAGAAGAAGAAGAAGAATGAAAAGAAGAAGAAGAAGAATGAAAAGAAGAATGAGAAGAAGAATGAAAAGAAGAATGAAAAGAAGAATGAGAAGAAGAAAAAGAAGAATGAAAAGAAGAAGAATGAAAAGAAGAATGAAAAGAAGAATGAAAAGAAGAAGAAGAAGAATGAAAAGAAGAAGAAGAAGAATGAAAAGAAGAAGAAGAATGAAAAGAAGAATGAGAAGAAGAATGAAAAGAAAATGAGAGAAGAATGAAAAGAGAAGAATGAAAAGAAGAAGAAGAAGAATGAAAAGAAGAAGAAGAAGAATGAAAAGAAAAGAATGAAAAGAAGAAGAATGAAAAGAAGAAGAAGAAGAATGAAAAGAAGAATGAGAAGAAGAATGAAAATAAGAATGAAAAGAAGAATGAGAAGAATGAAAAGAAGAAGAAGAAGAATGAAAAGAAGAATGAAAAGAAGAAGAAGAAGAATGAAAAGAAGAAGAAGAATGAAAAGAAGAAGAAGAATGAAAAGAAGAAGAAGAATGAAAAGAAGAAGAAGAATGAAAAAAGAAGAAGAAGAAGAAGAAGAAGAAGAAGAAGAATGAAAAGAAGAAGAAGAATGACAAGAAGAAGAATTCCAGTACAGCAAAAAGTGTATCTGCAGAGAGCTCCGCTATTTCTGACAGTTCTCTGACAGTTCCTTCACATTTACAGCGGTTGAAACATTGTATCTATTTGTTTCCGAATAAAAACATCTGTATCCTAAATGGAAACAAATAGATACAATGTTTCAACCGCTGTAAATGTGAAGGAACTGTCAGAGAAACTGTCAGAAATAGCGGAGCTCTCTGCAGGGACACTTTTTGCCGGCTGTAGAAGGGATGAAAATCGGCCGATCGGGAAAAATTCGATTCGCGCGCATCCGAAGTTTGCTAATATATTCGGATTCGGTGCGAATCGAATTTTTCCTAATATTCGAAACGAATTCCACTTCGCCAAGTTCGATTCGCTCATCTCTAATCACAATACTTTTGGCAATATAGTGTAGGGAGGAGCAGAGATGTAGCAAGGCACTTGGGAAGCAGGAGGCAGTCTTTTAAGCAGAGGTGACAAGAGATTGTCATCTCCCTTGGTGGCCCAAATGAACTAAACAGGGCCATATACTGTATACCGTGTGCATGCATCCAGTACTCCAAATGGGCAATCAAACCTCAATCCTATGAGCCATTTATTAATAGGGAGCTCTAATTATGCCATGACAAAGTACAATAGCAAATCCACAAACACTTATTTTACTTGTTAGTTGTAAATGTTACAATTATATCTGTTGGCACCATTGGAACTATAAATACAATATATACTGTATATACAGGCCTTGAAATTTCCACTTGCCTGGTCGCCAATGGCGAGTGGAAATTATGGTGGGGGCGAGTGTGTCCCCCAGAGCTGTCTTGCTGAGCAGGCTCGGAGCTCAGGCCGGATCTGTCATTGGCACTAGGAGCCGTCAGACTGCTCAATAGCTGAGCACAGTGAAAGCAAAGGAAGGAGTGTGTGCTGTGCTCTCTGCTTCCCCCTAGAGTGCAGTACCCGACTCTGTGAGTGAACAACGAAGTACTGCAATTTTTTATAGGGCTGTGTGTGTGTGTGTGTGTGTGTGTGTGTGTGTGTGTCTACCTAATTTCAGCTCACTCTGGTCACATGACCTCTATGTCAGCCAGTGGTGGCTTCAGGGGCGAGGAGAGTGCACTTAACAGCATGCGTGTGTGTCTGTGTATGCATGTACATGTGTCTGTGTGTATGTACATGTGTGTATCTGTACATGTGCCTGTGTGTATTAACATATATGTATAAAAATAAAATATGCAGCGCTTATAAAATAAATATGAAGAAGCAGAAAATCAGAACATAAACAGCATAACTGCATGAAAAACTCAGTCCATATTGCATGGTGCGATAAAGTGATAGGTGCAATTGTCCCAATAATCCATGTTCAGAGAAATTCGTGACTCTTGTGATCTCGTGATTGTACAAATAATGCACTAACCAGATAGCGCAATAAATGCGCATGGAGCAATTAAGACCCGCTCCTGGTGCTCTGGACTTGTAATATTAGGAGGATGTCATCTGCAGGTTGGCCACCAGATGTCATCAATCCAGGTATATTGGTAAGTCATCCACCAGAAAGATCATCAGCGGGGGAGGGGGTGATCATGCATCATTCCTAAATAAACGTAACCTTCAAAAACGGGCTCCCATACAATAGATGAGACCCAGAGAAGCCTCTGATAGTGTAGTATGTCTTTAATAGGTAAAACTTACACCAAGTACAATTGAAGGATAAACTTACATCAAAACAAAGTCTGGCCACCAGGGTGTCAGTCAGGATGGCCTTGTGGTATGGATACACAGGTCAGGGGCACCTCTCTAACGCGTTTCGTGTGAAAACACTTCCTCAGAGTGGCTCCCTCTGAGGAAGTGTTTTCACACGAAACGCGTTAGAGAGGTGCCCCTGACCTGTGTATCCATACCACAAGGCCATCCTGACTGACACCCTGGTGGCCAGACTTTGTTTTGATGTAAGTTTATCCTTCAATTGTACTTGGTGTAAGTTTTACCTATTAAAGACATACTACACTATCAGAGGCTTCTCTGGGTCTCATCTATTGTATGGGAGCCCGTTTTTGAAGGTTACGTTTATTTGGGAATGATGCATGATCACCCCCTCCCCCGCTGATGATCTTTCTGGTGGATGACTTACCAATATACCTGGATTGATGACATCTGGTGGCCAAACCTGCAGATGACATCCTCCTAATATTACAAGTCCAGAGCACCAGGAGCGGGTCTTAATTGCTCCATGCGCATTTATTGCGCTATCTGGTTAGTGCATTATTTGTACAATCACGAGATCACAAGAGTCACGAATTTCTCTGAACATGGATTATTGGGACAATTGCACCTATCACTTTATCGCACCATGCAATATGGACTGAGTTTTTCATGCAGTTATGCTGTTTATGTTCTGATTTTCTGCTTGTTCATATTTATTTTATAAGCGCTGCATATTTTATTTTTTATGTTTGTATTTGGGTCCCAAGGTTACCTTTTTATGCTAGCTGCTTCGCTTATATGTTCCCAGCGCTCTATTACCTACTTATACATTAACATATATGTGTGTGTGTGCACATGTGTCTGTGTGCATGTACATGGGTCTGTGTGTACATGTGTCTGTGTATGTATGTACATGTGTCTGTGTGTATGCGTGTCTGTACGTGCCTGTGTGTGTATACATGTGTCTGTATGTGTGTGTACATGAGTCTCTGTGCGTGTGTGTACATGTGTCTATGTGTGTGTATGTATACAGTGGGGATCGAAAGTTTGGGCACCCCAGCTAAAAATTTGTATTAATGTGCATAAAGAAGCCAAGGAAAGATGGAAAAATCTCCAAAAGGCATCAAATTACAGATTAGACATTCTTATAATATGTCAACAAAAGTTAGATTTTATTTCCATCATTTACACTTTCAAAATAACAGAAAACAAAAAAATGGCATCTGCAAAAGTTTGGGCACCCTGCAGAGTTAATATCTTGTACTGCCCCCTTTGGCAAGTATCACAGCTTGTAAACGCTTTTGTAGCCAGCCAAGAGTCTTTCAATTCTTGTTTGAGGTATCTTTGCCCATTCTTCCTTACAAAAGTCTTCCAGTTCTTTGAGATTTCTGGGTTGTCTGCTCTTTTAAGGTCTATCCATAGATTTTCAATTATGTTGAGGTCAGGAGATTGTGAAGGCCATGGCAAAACCTTCAGTTTACGCCTCTTGATGTAATCCCCTGATATAATAATGATCCTAAACACACCTCGAAATCCACGGGGGAATACATCAAGAGGCGTAAACTGAAGGTTTTGCCATGGCCTTCACAATCTCCTGACCTCAACATAATTGAAAATCTATGGATAGACCTTAAAAGAGCAGACAACCCAGAAATCTCAAAGAACTGGAAGACTTTTGTAAGGAAGAATGGGCAAAGATACCTCAAACAAGAATTGAAAGACTCTTGGCTGGCTACAAAAGCGTTTACAAGCTGTGATACTTGCCAAAGGGGGCAGTACAAGATATTAACTCTGCAGGGTGCCCAAACTTTTGCAGACGCCATTTTTTTGTTTTCTGTTATTTTGAAAGTGTAAATGATGGAAATAAAATCTAACTTTTGTTCACATATTATAAGAATGTCTAATCTGTAATTTGATGCCTTTTGGATTTCGAGGTGTGTTTAGGATCATTATCCATTTGTAGAAGCCATCCTCTCTTTAACTTCAGCTTTTTCACAGATGGCATCAAGTTACCATCCAAAATTTGCTGAAATTTTATTGAATCCATTTTTCCTTCTACTCGTGAGATGTTCCCTGTGCCACTGGCTGCAACACAACCCCAAAGCATGATTGATCCAACCCCATGCTTAACAGTTGGACAGAGGTTCTTTTCATTAAATTCTGTGCCCCTTCTTCTCCAAACGTACCTTTGCTCATTCCGGCCAAAAAGTTCAATTTTAACCTCATCGGTCCACAGAACTTGTTTCCAAAATGCATCAGGCTTGTCTATATGTTGATTTGCAAAGTTCAAACGATGATTTTTGTGGTGAGGACGTAGAAGAGGTTTTCTTCTGAAGACTCTTCCATGAAGACCATATTTGTACAAGTATCTCTTTATAGTGGAATAGTGTACCACAACTCCAGTGTCTGCCAGATCTTTCTGGAGGGGTCGTGCAGTCAAACGTGGGTTTTGAATTGTTTTTCTCACAATCCTGCGAGCTGTTCTGTCTGATATTTTTCTTGGTCTTCCAGATCTTGCTTTAACTTCCACTGTTCCTGATGACTGCCATTTCTTAATTACATTCCGAACAGAGGATATTGACATCTGAAAACGCTTTGCTATCTTCTTATAGCCTTCTCCAGCTTTGTGAGCGTCAACTATTTTCAGTTTCAGTTTTCTAGACAACTGCTTAGAAGAACCCATGGTGCTGATTGTTGGGGCAAGGTCAGATGAGTCTGGGCATTTAAAACCTTTGAGATTGACATCACCTGGTCTTCCCAGACGATGATTGAGAACAATCCACGACACTGGCAGGTCTCAGCTTGGCAAAGGGGGCAGTGCATGCTATAAATTCTGCAGGGTGCCCAAACTTTTGCAGACGCCATTTTTTTGTTTTCTGATATTTTGAAAGTGTAAATGATGGAAATAAAATCTAACTTTTGTTGACATATTATAAGAATGTCTAATCTGTAATTTGATGCCTTTGGAGATTTTTCCATCTTTCCTTGCCTTCTTTATGCACATTAATACAAATTTTTAGCTGGGGTGCCCAAACTTTCGATCCCCACTGTATGTCTGTGTGTGTGTACAGGTGTCTCTGTTTGTGTGTGTTTGTTGGTGGCGAGTAACTCTTAAGGCCTGACTAGTAGCTCAGGACTTGAAATTTTACAGTATACAAGACAAGACACCCAAAGACAGAAATCTCTATTGTTTTATTTAGGAATGCTAATAATATACCCCACAGGTCATGAAGGCAACAAATGTGGCTTATGACAGCCCCCCCCCCCTCCAGGATCTTAACCTCCCTGGAGGTATTCCTGAGTGTAGCTCGGGGTAAAGTTTCAGCACCACAAGCGGTAACCCTGAGCTACACTCGGGAATACCCTGCAGCGTTGCTCCGGGATCTCTTCTTCACTTACCTTGTCCTGCGCTTCCACGATGTCCCTCCTGCAGCGTCCCCAGCCATGTCCTCCTGCCGATGCCGGCATCTGGGTTCCGTTCCTTGCAACGTCAGGACGTACGGGGACGGAACCGGTGGGAAAAGTAAAAATGTTAAAAAGTGACATTCACTCAATACACTAAAATCACATAGTAAAACATTACAGTATCAAACCATTTCACATACATTTTGTCCCGAGTGCTTTGTCCTGTGCCCTGCCTGCATTTTTACTGTTCTTTCTGTCTAGAAACTGAGAAATGTCCATGGTTTCCAAAAAGCGTCCCTTTAGGTCAAAAGCGGTTTTAGACCAGTTAGAATACAGGGATAGTAAATTAGAACTACTTGCAGAATTGAGTGATAATGATTCGTGGGGAAATTCGTCATCAGACACTGAAAACAATTTTGCGACTAAGATCAGTGATGTGCGAACTTGGCGCTCTATTTCAAATTTCAGTGTTTTTGGTTTGATTATATTATTGAATTAAATGTATTATTATTACAGTATTATTTTTTATGATTATTTATTAAATTATAATTTATGATTTCGTATTTCAAATTTTACCATACCCGGGATGTTTACTAGACTCTTGTTTGGACAGATTTCAGTGAGTTATTCCTAAAAATTACAGGCCTACATTAAAAAAACAACATATGTCCATGCAAAAAATGTACCGTTTTGAGCACAGAAATACTGACATAATCAGACCGCTAGGGAGTTTAAGGTGTAAAAATCAAAGGCCAAAAATACAAAATAACTGGTTATTAAAGTTGTATAATAAAGCAAAATGTTTACTAACAGGAGTAAAAACCTTTCTGCTATCTATACAATATATAGGAACATATACCCCTCTGCAGAACATCCTCCATGGAATTCTGGGTGGAAATGCATCAAGTATAAAAATCCTTTAGTAAAACATGAAACACAGAGGTTGATTTAGTAAATGAGCAAAGTATGTTCACTTAGCAAAGTAAATTTTCACTCTGGAAGGACATCTTTACTGAGCTTAGTGAATGTGATGAACATTTACTTTGCAGAGGACTCCCAGTCATGTGGAAGGAACATTTTATATAATATATTTTTGCTTGCACATAATTGGATGATGCAAGCCAGCAGAGCTCCATTCACTTATCTGAGGGAAAAGTGACTTGCAAACATATATTCCACTTTGCTAAGTGAACAGCCAATTTAACTATTTAAATCAACCCCATAGTGTCTTGGATTTAATTATTTGACATTGGATGGTATAGCATTATCTTTCTATCTAATACATCGGCATTTTTTCCATTTGTGTGTCCCATTCTGAGTACAAGATGTTACTTGTTTAAAGCCGCAATTAATGGATTTTAACCAATTTGTGTTGAAGTGAATCTGAGCTACAAAAAGTTATTTCAAGTCAAACCTTAATGTACTTTTTTAATTGGGCTATCGCTGGCCAGCTGGTGCCAATCCTAATTCAGTATGGTATGTATACATTTGTGATGTCCAGAATAAAGGGTGATAATCTTGGTGGTGGTCATATCATTTTTTCAGCTATACAGCAGCATATCTCTAGTGTTTATCCACTTGCCAACCTCATACGGCAGCTCATGTGTGCTGGATCACACAAATAGTACACGACCATCGCTTCCGGGTAGGGCACGCACTCCCGCCAACCGATCTGTACTGTAATTCATTACAGTACAAGCCGATCAACGGGTCCCAGCCAGTGATTGGCCACTGGGACCCCCCCTGACCGGCTCAGTGATTCATGGAACACAGCTCTGTGATAATAAACAACAAAGAGCTGTGTTCAGTGGCAGGCGATCATGTTTTTTATTCCCTGCTACACAGGGAAAAAAAAACAACAAGTTCCCTGAGTAAAATCAGCACACAGTATACACATTAACACTTCCTGGACACACAGTTAACCCTTTGATTGCCCCAGATGTTAACCTCTTCCTACCTAGTGTCTTTAGTACAGTGTCAGTGCATATTATTAGCACTGATCACTGTATTAGTGTCACTGGTAATGTCAGTGGCAGTTAGTTCCCACTCAGTGTCAATGCCTGCCACACTATCACAGTCCCGTTATAAGTCACCAATCGCTGCCATTACTAGTATAAAATACATTTTAAAAAACTCCAGTATATATACTACTATGACTTTCATACAAACCAAATATACACTTATTTGGATTTTTTGTACCAAAGACATGTAGCAGAGTATACTTGCCCTAAATTTAAGAAGAAATTGAATTTGTATTATTTTTTTTCATTATTATTATTGGATATGTTTAATAGCAAAAAGTAAAAAATATTTTTTTTTCAAAAATTTCAGTCTTTTTTTCGTTTATATAATATTAAATTAAAAACCCAGCGGTGTTCAAATACCACCAAAGAAAGCTCTTCTTGCGTGACAAAAATTATATAAATTTCATTTGGTTACAGTGTTGGACGATCTCACAATTGTCACTTAAAGTAGCGCAGTGGCGCATAGCCAAAAAAGGCTCGGTCGTGAAGGGGGGTAAATCTTCCGGAGAGCAAGTGGTTAT